AGCAGAAATAGTTCTTAGCAGGACTAGTTTCAGTAAAAAATTTATATCTCGAGCTAGAAAACTCAGATTTGGGTAATTCAAAATTCTTTGGAAAGCTGAAAAAAGGAGATACAACTTTCATATTTTTATTTTGATCTAATTATGCACAAAACATAACCAATATTAAAGAAATAGAAGCTGTCAAAACTTTTAACAGAAACAACTCTTAGCAGGACCATTTTTGGTAAAAACTTAATATCTCGAGCTAGAAAACTCGAATTTGAGCAATTCAAAATTCCTTGGAAAGCTAAGAGAAGAAGCTAAAACTTTCATATTTCAACTTTAATCTAATTATGCCCAAAACACACCAAAACTTAAAGAAAAATAAACTGATATCTATAAGAGTAGTAACAAAATTTTCAACAATATGTTCTGTTATAATCATGCATCTATTTTTTATAGTTTGATATATGTTATTTTATAATCACTAATCTATTATGCCTATAACGTACTCGAAATTGAAGGGCATTTTGGGTATACAAATTACCTTAATTGGTTAATTTTTTAAATATGGACTTTTTTGGAAATATTTTTACTTCTGGCCTTAAGGGTAAATATTATTTATTAATTTTCGTTTTTAGTCATTATCCCAAAAATAAATCCTATAGGGCAACTTTCATGTTTCTCATCTTTGCCCAACCCCCATGTTCCCCATTTTGCTCAAATCTCCATATTTCCAAATTCTATAGCATGAGTAGGAGGCAAAATGTCTTGTGAAAAATGAAGAGAATAAAGGATTTTGGAGGAGAATAAAATGGTCAATCACAAGAATTTCAAGAATTTTGCAAAAAAATAAACACATGTAATTAGAGAGAATAAGAAGGAGAAATGTATAATAAAATGTACATAAAACATGTAGATAGACGTGACAAATATGGACGTGACTAACTAGTGAAGTGGCGATGTCATACCCCACTTCCACTAACTGAGCAAGGCACGATAACAGGGTAGTAATCAACACTCTGCCTACCAGAAGTCTAGCATCATGCCAGCCACTATAACTTTTGTCATAAATAGCTCGTGTGGCACTTGCGTTTGTGTACCTATTAACTCAAGAAACATATTATAATATCACTTTGCAAAATTTATTCAACACATGACTATGGCCTCACATTTCCTTGTAGCATAGTTTATATGAAGATTGCTATTGTACATGGTAATTATATTATGCTCAAGCAATCATGCATTTCTATCACATAAAAAAAACTATGCACTGACTCATAAACCCATAATAGTTAATACACATAATTATTTAATACATAATCCCTCAACCTCTCATGGAATTAGATAAGTACACAACTTGTATGAAGTCTTGGAGATTGGCCCAACCTGGTGCAATATGTAATGAACAGATGGGAGTAGGATGCGTGCTGGGATCCTAGCTAGATCACTCCATATTTGTAAGGGAAAAAGTAGTGAGACTGTATTCCTAGTAATTGCATGAAACTAACCTTAGCAAAAATAGTTAGGGTTTATATCCACAATAAGCATAATTCAGTTCCATTAAAAAAAAAAATCATCAATGTGGAGAATAGAATGGAAATAACATCAATGAGGATCATAATATTTTTTGCTGTTCACAATATTTTCTGTTGTACTATAATGTAGAAATCTAGGTAACAATATCAAGTAGAAATTATCAGAATATCAATATATATATATATATATATAAATTGTTCAACACACACATGCATAACTCTGGTCAAATGTATGCAATTGAAGGTTTTTAGAGTAGTAAAATCATAAAATAAAAAATGGGCCATTTCTAGGACAAAATAAACATATATTGAGTGCTACTGCATTGTGTAACCTGCATCAGGGTTGCCACTTCTTAGCTAAAATTGGCACAGTCTTTGGTGACTAGGCCTCCACTAGAGCTAATATCACATGCATCATATACTACAAGTAGAACTGTCACTTACCTTGGATGGCTACCCGATATTTTAATCTAGGTGCTAAAGGTGCTAAAGCACTAAAATACCATAAAAGTCCAACATCAAAGCATATATTAGAAATCATAATATAGCTACGTTGTTTCCTCTTTTGTTAATATTAACACATGGTTGTGTTCAAAAATAGGTTTTATTTAATAAAAACATATTCTAAAAAAACATACTAAAATTAGAGATACGCCATTCACAGTGTGTACAAAATTTATAGATGTGGTTCTAGAGCTGTCTGATCAAGCTCTAGCCTGGCTCTACTTCCCTCCCCTACAATTGGGACACATGCATGTATGAGTATAATGTCTTAAATGGATAACGCAATTGTATGCCAAATGGTTCAAGTCGTATAGATATAAGTTTCTCTCCCTTTCTTAACCTTTGGTTTCATTTTAGGTACTATTTCCTAACTCTTTAGAATCATGCTTTTATCTCTTCATCGCCCTTTACTATGCTCAAGTTCGAACTCTCTTAGGTGTGAATAAGAGGTTAAAATTCATTCTTTAGCCCTCTTAAGTTGCATAAAAATTTCCAGCATCTACATAGGAGGCGATTAAGTTTGAATTAACTTGCATTTGGCCTTTATTTTTCTCCTAATCTTGTGTCTCCCTTTTGGCCCCTCGTTGGCTTTCACGTTCGCTCAGTTTCGTGCCCCTTGAAGGGTTACAACTCCCTTGAAATCACCTCCCAATTAGAATTTTCTGCTTTATGTTTTCTACATACATATCACAAGTTCTCTAGTTGAAAATGTTTTAGTTTTGAGCTAAGTTTGGTATTTTTCTAGCTTCATTTTGCTCAATCAATTTATCCACCCCTTAAGCTCTTTTAAAGGCCTTAATCTAGATCTTATTTCTATCTCTTAGAGGTCTAGCCAAACAAGGCAAAGCTACAGAATTTTCTGCTATACTTTTTTGCACACTACCTATTAGCTCTTTAGCTAGGTTTAGGTTAGATTTAGGCCAAGTTTGGCTCTTTTTCTAGCTTTTCCTTCTGAACTAGTCTACCCATCTTTAATCTACTTATTAGTCTTGAAACTAAGCACATTTAGTGCCCTAAAGTTTTGGCCAACTAGAGTAGAATTGTTAAAATTCCCTCATAATCTTTTCTGTGCCCTCTCTCTCACTTAATTTGCTAGTTATAGCTTAGTTTAGGCCTAAAATTTTGATTTCTTCTTAACTTTTCTTCTTAAGTTGACATAATCATTTTCTAAACTACTCATTAACCTTGGATTAAGGTTTAGTTCAGTCCCTAAGAGGTTTGACCAGTGTGGGTATAGTTGCAGAAATTTTCCAATTTTCATAAACCTTACTCAAATTCAAATTTCAACTTGGTTTCCTAACTTTGTTGGGCTTAACTTTCTTTTTTTCTATTTCAACATCACCTATTTCTCTCTGTTTCTAGCCCCATAGGTAGCATCAAATTCCCTAATTCAACCATGAAACCACATAATTTTCCAAGCAAAAACAGAGCAAAGTTGTAAGCTAGTTTAGCAAGATTTCTCATGATCATGCAATGTATTCCTATTGTTGAGTTTCGACCAGCCCTCTCTACAGCACATAAAACAATCTCAAACAAGAATTCTAAACCAATTAAATGTCATATAATTGAAAGAAGAAGAAAAATATGAAAAAATTTTGAAGAAGAGTTGAAGAACTTTCTAGATTTTTCCATTTTCTTACCTTTATTTTCCTTATCATCTTCTTCTTTTCTTCCCTTGCTCTTACGTGACTTGTCTTTGAGAGAACTCTAGAGTTCTCTACATATACTCATGGCATATATAGGAGGCACCCAAGCTCCCCCTTGTGCAATGACATTTTTGCCTTCTCATTAAAAATTAAACTTCCCTCTATATCCCTTATGTCCTACTTTCATTTCTATCCCTTAATATTTACTTAAATCCCCTAATTGTCCCCTAGGATACCTATGTAATTCCTCTCTTATCCTTCTAAATAGGAGCTTAATATAAAATTTATTTACGATTTAAAGTCATAAATTTTATTTCTTTAAATTCCACCTTCTTATCTTTCAATTCTAGGTTTTTCTTCCTACTTTTTGATTTCTTTCCTCTTTTATTACTTTCACTACTCTATTCTACTCTTTCCTTAATATGTCCAGAGATCTCTTAAAGTTCCACTCTCTCCATCTAGGGTTGTGAACAAGAAGATTTAAAAGAATTCCCATTAAGTTTAAATTTATTATAACATGCAATGCATGCAAGTAATATATGCAATTATGCAATGATTCATGAATGATACTACACAACCCAAACATTGTTTGGGTTGTCACAGGTGGACAAGTGGCAAGGTAGCAAAGGTGCACTTACTAGTAGACAAGTAGCACAGAATGATGAGACGAGAGGGGATGGAGAGGGAATGGGGAGATCTATTTAGAGGGTAGAAGGAGAGAATGGCGAGAAGTGAGATGAGAGGGGAGAGGAAGATGGAGAAGAATGAATTTGAATGAGAGGCGAATACTATATATTCAAGCTTTTGATGCAACGGCATTGGTAAACTGGTTGGTAAATTTGCTTTCTTGATGCATTGGGGGGCTTGTTGCCGCTCAATTATTGATGCATAATTTCATTTTGTGTTGGTAAAAAATGTTTTTTAATTCAATTAAATATAAATATTTACATTACCGATGCAAGATTTGCATTGGTAATTTGGACTTTTTTCGATGCACTTATTAAAGTACCAACACAATTTTTAAATTATCTGTGCAATTTTTAAATTACTAACGCTATTATCGACACAACATTGCATCGGTAATATATTTTTAAATAACTTAAGATTTTATTTTATTTTTTAAATAATCTAAAATGTTTTTAAAATTGCAAAGCCAATGTCAATTCTAGGCTTGCCACCACTTCTATGATTGTAGGCTGCTCTCTATCAGTCAAACACTTGGTGGATGTTTCCACAAAGTATCTAAGAGATCATGGTGTTATTTGATTGTTTTGCCCCTTCAAGCAGGGATCAATCATTTGATCAACCTTCCCTTTCTAATGCTCTTTTGAACTCACAACACCAGACTAATTTCCTCTTCCCCAAGTCTCGGATTCACCTGTGGCCTTCCACACAACACTTCTAACATCACCACTCTAAAGGCATAAACATCAGATTTCTTGGTGAGTCTATGAGTCAAGAAGTACTCTTAATTCGGACACCCCAATGTCCCTTTAACATCTGTAATGATATGGGTTATTGAAAGGCTCATAATGCCCTTAGACAACCCAAAAAGAAAAATCTTAGTGACCCAGTTTTGTTTTAGCATAATATTAGTCAGTTTCACATCTCGATGGATGAAGCCCTAGGCATGAAAAAATTTCTAAGCCACATACAACATCAATGCAAATAGCAAGCCCTTGCTCCTAAGAGAGCCCAGAACCATCTCTATTTGTACCACATTTGTAAAGGTGATGAGCAAGCATGTGGTTGGGTATGTACTCATAAACAAGAATCATCTCATTGGATTCGTTGCCATAGCAGATGAGAGCGACAAGATGAGGGTGCCGAAGTTAGGATAGCATCTTCACCTCTGTCCAAAACTCTTGAGTGCCTAGATTGGAGTGGGTGTTCAACCGCTTCACAATGATGGTTATGGCACCACCGTCGTGGTGGATGAGGCCTTTGTAGACCTTGCCAAATCCTTCAACACCAACGACCAAGGAGTCATTGAAGTTGTTGGTTGCTAATTGCATGTCAACAAATGAGAAACATCGACATAGTTCATGCAGTTGGATTTCACCACGTTCTTCTTTTTGGATTGTTACGGTGAGAACAAAAGCTAGCATTTTCTCTTAGCTCTAAATGAAAGAGGCTTAGACCACGTTGACGGTTAGACAAGGATGAAGATGGGTAAAAAAAAACATATAAATTAATTTGTTGGATAAAAAACACTTTCCTCCCTCTAAATTTACTTAAATGACATTCAACTCCATTTTTATCATGAAAAAACACTTTTCCTGTGACATTCCAAACCAAGTTTGAAATGCACAACTTTAGATCTTAGACATGTATATAACTTCATTTCATGCACTAATTCATATACTACATGCATTATGTTCATTATATGCATATTGGAAATAAGTTAAAACTCAAGTGACTTAAATTATATTATTTTTTATGTCCTTAGAAAAGGTTAAAAGAGCATTAGGAAATTTTAAAAGGTGAGACATGAATGATAGTAAAAGAAATTAGAAAAAAATAAAAATTTATAAAAACTTAAATACATAAAAGAAGGAAAATTTGTTAGTAATTAAGTGTAGTTTTGATCTTAAGTTTAGAGTGATTAGAGGAGTATTATAATAATTTTCTAGGGTTAAAAGTGGAGTTTTTACCCCAAGAGAACATAGAAGTAAATATAGTGAAAGAAGAGGGGTATTTTGGTCTTTTTGGTGGGGACCTGTGCCGACTTAATGAGGGCTATATAAGAAGCCCTCAAACCTCTAAAAGCTTCACAATTTCGTGCAAGCCAAAGGAGGAAGAAAAAGTAAAGGAAAACATGTGTGTATATGTGCAAACAAGTCAAACAATGAACCAATGGGGTTAAGTTTTGTGATAGGCCAATTAATGCATGATTGACTCTTTTCTTTTTAGTGTAGTTTCTTCTATGTCTCGGCCAAGCAAAGAAGAAAGGAAAAGGAAAGACAAAGAGGAAAAAGAGAAGAAAGGAGGTGCAAAGTCAAACCAAGCATTAATAGGGATGAGAGTAGTGTAAAAAAATGGTTAACTTGTGTTGACCATTTCATGGATGTATATGTATACATGTATGGTGCGCTCCACCCTCTTAACCGAACCACCAAGGGGTATGGAAACCCCTTGATTTCTCTAGATGTGGCGTGAAAGCACGGGAAGAAAAGAGATAAAAGAGGAGAAAGAAAAGAAAAGAAAGAAAAAGGAAGAAAAAGGAGAAAAGGGGATAGGCATGAGTTAACCTTGTTGATCAATTTTAGGGATACAATGGTAGACTACAAGCCAGCTAACTAGTTTTCCTCTTAAAGTCAGTGTTTTCAAAATAAATGAACAGAAAATGATTTTATTTTTGAATTAATGATTTTATTTGAGATACTCTTATATGTTTTATAAACTGGAAACAAGAATTATTGTTTTCTATTACATGTGTGTTTTTATTGAAATATATGCGATAGTTGTTTTCTTAAAATGTGGGATAATCTATTAGGTAATCACAAGGATGGATTTGGACCTATATGGTAGTACTACATGACCTTTGTCTTGTGAGGGCTAGAGCACCAAGGAACCATGTGTGTTTGTCTATGGGAGTGGTACACCTATGGTACGAGTCTTATGACTAGTAACACCAAACAGATTCAGATATGTATATATTTGGTTTATATGCATGTTAAACTTAAAGTTACAAACAGACAGAGTCGTTATTGTTTTACTTCCTTCCACAGTTTTTTTACATGTTTTTAGTTATGACTGAATCTATAGGCTCAATAGATGACATGATATGGTTTTACTATAGTATTTGTATGAGCATAGTTTGCTTATATTATTATATGAATTTTATTTATAAATGGAATTATTAACTTTTTATTTGCAAGAGATTTCTATTTATGAAATATTATATGAGTTTTGAAAAATAGTTATGTTTTTGTAATTTTAGTTGAAAAATCATTCACTGGGACGACAATACCCCCCCTTCATTTTGTCTTTGCAGATAACCAAAAAATTTAGCCAAAGATTGTACCAATTGCATCATTGTAGCAAGAAGCACTACATTTAGTGGAGGTCGGGCTAGCGGAGATTTATTCAAATATATGAGTGCAGAAGAGAGTTTGTAAAATAATAAAGATTGTGTACGACAAAAGAGTTGTATCACTAGATAAAAATTTAACCTTATGATTGTAGAATTTTACTATTTTTAAAATTTTTATTTTACAATATTTAAATATTATTTAACTTTTTTTAAGTTTAAATGGCACTCAACTCTTTTTTAACTTGAGTGACATTCAGCTATTCTTATTTTAATATTTAAAATAAAAATAAAAATATATAATAATTAAAAAAAATAAAATAAAATTATCAAAATTTAAATTTTTTAAAAACTTAAAAATAAGAAAATTGAAAAAATAAATGAATCAAATAATATTTTAATTTTCAATCAAATCAATAATTAAAATGTATGAAATTGGATTATTTTCATGTCTTTTTTAATAAAATTGTTAAACAATTATTAGTCAACAGTTGATCAAAAAAATTATTTTTTTATAACAAGAATAGAACTAAGTATTTTTTTAGTAAATTTAGAATAAAAATATTTTTTTACCTTAATTTATTCTTTATTGGAAATGTCTTCATTTCTTCCCATCTTTGAATGATAGATTAAACAGAAACAACCTTAGGAGAAGCGGGGTCAGCACAGAGAGGTTCAAAGCTAGAAGCCTCTACGAAAAGACTCCACTAGTCTCCTCCGCTGGTCAATACTGATGGACTGTGCTCTGTCATCGGAAAGATGATACGGATATTTAATTTGAATTTTGTTTTAGAGGGGAAAAGTAAAGCTAAAAAATTGGGCCCGTTGGGATTATTTTAACGAGTATTCCCGATCGCCGCAAGAATAATGTTTGACTAGTATTTGAAACTTATTTAAAACATCCTCTTTTTAAAATAAAATTAATAATAAAAATTTGATCCTCGTAATTTTTATAAATTATTTTTATTTTAAAATAAAAATAATATAAAATTTACTATTTAACTCAAATAATAAAATATTTACAATTTAGGTCTCCTCTTCCTTGTCTCCCTTCCGTACAATTTATATTTTTAAAAATTTAATTTTACACATTCTAAAAGACAAACAATTTCTCAAAAGTATTTAGATTAAAATTTCATGAAGAAGGAAAAGACAACCTAAAGAAAACTTTTTTTTGGGAATATTTTTTTTATAATGGAAAAAATGAAATAAAATATTACTGTTACAAGTAAAATAAAATAATCTATACTATTTATATAAAAATATTTTAATGTATGAAATTTTTATTAATAAATTTACCTTCATTTTATTTGATACTGACATATATAATCTTAATGTTAGTTTGTCAAATTACTTATATATTTATTAGTTATAGTTTTCTTATTTATTAATTAGTGCATTGTTTCTATTAGTTATTCTTTTAAAATCTCCACACAAAATATAAAATTTCTAGATAAATATTTTTTAAATGACAGATTTTTGCTTTATAAATTTTTAATCAGAAATTGTAAAACAAGGATTGCAAATATCACAAATTAAAAAAAAAGAAATAAAATTCCTCTTCTTATTAGATGTAAATATCAGATTATATTTCTCAATATCATTTTAATCAAATAAATATATTGATTTAATTTTAATATGAGTTTTATAGATCAAAGTAATATAAAAATAAATACTAATTTTATTTTTCTCTTAATAAAATATTCTCGCATAATACGTAAAATACACGACAAATTTATACAGATATTCTTATTTTTTTATTTATAAAATAGGTTTCAATAAAATTATTTAAAACATCCTCTTTTTAAAAAAAAAATAATAAAATTTGGTCCTCGTAATTTTTAGAAATTATTTTTATTTTAAGATAAAAATAATATAAAATTTACAATTTAACTCAAATAATAAAATATTTACAATCTACGTCTCCTCCTCGTCTCCCTTCCTTATTATTTATATTTTTAAAATTTAATTTTATGCATTCCAAAAGACAAACAATTTATCAAAAGCATCTAGTTTAAAATTTCATATAGAAGGAAAAAACAACTTGAAGAAATCTTTTTTTTGGGAATATTTTTCTTATAGTAGAAAGAAAAGAAATAAAATACTACTGTTACAAGTAGTATATTAATAAAATAAAATAATTTATTTTATTTATATAAAAATATCTTAAGTTATGAAATTTTTATTAATAAAATTACCTTCATTTTATGTGATACTGACATATACAATCTTAATGTTAGTTTGTAAATTTAATTATATATTTCTTAGTTATAGTTATCTTATTTATTAATTAGTTCATTATTTGTGTGAACTATTTATATTTGTTATTCTTTTAAAATTTTCCATAAAAAATATAAAATTTGTAGATAAATTTTTTTTTAAATGATGGATTTTTGCTTTATAAATTTTTAATTAGAAATTGTAAAACAAGGATTGCAAATATCACAAATTTTAAAAATTAAATTTTCTCTTGTTATTAGATATAAATATCAGATTATATTTCTCAATATCATTTCAATCAAATAAATCTATTATTTAGTTTTAATATTAATTTTATAGATCAAAGTGATATAAAAATAAATAATAATTTTATTTTTATCTTAATAAAATATTCTCGTGTAATTCATAAAATACACAACAAATTTATACAGACATTATTATTTTTTATTATTTATGAAATTAGGTTTTCATAAAATTATTTATAGAAATTGGTTAATAACTATGTATGTTGTGAAATCGGTTGCCGTAAACATTTTTTTCTTTTTTGGTTTGGTTATTTATAGTGTAGTCAATCAGTTTATAATTAGACTGACTGGTCACCCAATTCATATTGGACAGCAAATTATTTTTTGTGCAGAAATTTTGAATGAGCATAACTTTCAATATGGAACTTTGTTTTCAACAATTTTTTTTTTTTATTTTTCACTTTTTTTCAAGATCTACAAAATATAAACAGGTAAAGGCAGTTCAACAACTCCATAAGCCCTAAAACAATAACCCCCTAAATCAGTAGTCCAAAACTATCAACCCTGGGGACTTAAACTCTTAAATCTTAGCCCGTAACTCCTAAATCTT